TTGGAGGAAATTGATGTAATGCCTTATTTATTAAACATTTGTATGTTTTTAAGTAAGGATATTTAATAAGTGGTTTCAAATAATGTTTCCTGAGTTGAGTTTAAGAATTGATTAAAAGGGATCACTAGTCAATTAATTTTGAAAGACTAATAAAATGAATTTATAATTATGGTATGAGGAATAAAATGATGGACCTAAATTAATACATTTAGAAACTTCTATGGGGAATTTTAATTATTTTAACAATAAAAGCCATGAGGCTTTATGTCTCACATTTATTATCCTTTGAATGTGAAGCACTGCCGATAATACTTTTTATCTACTTTAGATCTTAGATTGAGGGTTTTATAGTTTATCTTCAGCATATCCTACTGAAACTTGAAGAGATACACTAAGTGCTTTCACCTTATTCTTCAGAGATGAAAAAGAGGTCTGGAGGAGCTCTTCTCGAAGGGAATCCTAATAAAGATCGCATCAAAAGTTGTAGCATACTCGAGATCCAAGTGGCTGTACCACTTTTTTGTCATTCATCTAAAAGTAATAGGGAGGATTTTGCATATTGCATCCACTTCTCGGAGCACAAGTTTGAGGGTCCTCTAGCATTTTGTACGTGCTTTTGGGAATTGGTTGAACCGTCATTTAATTTTAAATTTATTTGCGTGGAGATGAATTCTTTAGGGATCTTGGCAGTTAGTATGTTCGGATAAAATAGTGACTTCATTACTGCCAAATGTCCTTTTAGGTCGAAATCGTTGGAGGCTGCTTGTGAGCTTGATTTTTCCTGATAACATTTTCTCTAGTGGCATTGTTGATTCTGGTTGGGTTTTTGATTCCTCTGCTTCTTTTCCTATTTATAGTTTTGGTTCACTAGTGATTCCTTACAAGAGTAATAACGACTTGATTGGGGATCAAAAGGTTGCAGACGTCCTTTTTCTTTCTTCTTACCCCCATTATGCTTTTATCCTTCAAAAGACAACTACATACACACTTTTCGAGGCAAAGATTGAGGTGGTTAAGAGTTCTTCACTAAGGTTCGAGCTGGTAGAGGTACCCTGGGTGTTTGTAATTGAGTGATCAAAGTTTTGAATTATTCTTGGGAGGCCAGGAATATGCTCGTCAGCCTCTGAACACTTTGTTATAGTTGAAGTATGTCCATGGGCTGTGTGTTGGGATTGGAAGAGTCTGAAAGAGCTGTATGCCCCAGCGTTTCTTGATCTTCAACCATATAATAGAGTTTGAAGCATTAAGCTTGATGATGGAGATTGGCTTTTAACTCAATTTTTGGAAAACTAAGATAGTAATCGATGATGGCCTGGGCTCTTTATGGTTAAATGAATAAAGGAAATTAATTGTGAGGGTGGCCCCTTCTTCTTAAACAATTGCAAAACAAGTATTTTTTATGGATTGAAAAACCTTCTGATGACTAAGTGAGTATACAGAGATAGAAGATGTGTGAGTAGGTTATAATGTATTTTTGTGATTGTGAAAGAGACAATAAACTATAGTATTGTGTTTAAAGAACATGAGGGAGAACTTGAAACCCTTTGTCCCTGGTGTTCTTATATAAGTAAATATTCTGTTAAATTGCATGAAGGAGAATGGTAGGATAGTTTATTCATATGTTGCTAATAGTCTCTAACTTTGAAGTTGATAGTTTGTAATTTGATCACTTTTGTGATGATAGGACTATTGTTGATGCAACGAGGGTTTCAAAAGGAGGCCCGTATTTAATGAGTACTTTTGTTCTCTTTCGTTGGTGGAACATTCATCATTCTGCTATAGATGAAGAGAGTTATTAAATGGGTTATTCGGTCAACACCCGATAAAAAAATAGCTTCCAACTTACATCTCGGACGATACATCATTTTTGTGGACCTTGTCTTCCATTGTGTCATTTTTGTTTTTATCTGACTGTTTTTCCTAGATACATCAAAACGAGTAAAAAATAAATTGATTTCAATCCCAATACCAATACCGACCAAGAAACCCAAAGATGAGAATTCTGAAATGATAGGCTAAAAGAAAGGAGAGAGGAAATTTATAGTTTGAAAATCTCGAATGGATGTGCACTTAATGGGGGAAATAATTGGATACCTGCGATTTGTATTTGACATACTTTGTGTTGGGAAATTGCTGGAGATAGAAATGCAAGATAGAGAGGAAAAATTGCAACCAAAATTTCCCTTTTTTTTATTTTTACCGGCTTTAGTAGGTTAAATGAAGAGTCTTGATTAAATCGAATGGTGTTAAAAAACATTTGGTATGGTATGAAATTATTGTGATTCGATAACCATAGAATGACCCCAAATAAACACCTAAAAGAAAGTACATAAAATTATTTCGTGTCTCTTTATCTTTGGAGAGCTATTTCTCTATCATCTACTTAAAAGAAAGGAAAATTTTTCCTTATTATTACAATCTTTTGTAATCACCCCTCCAAAAAATTGAAATTTTATATGACGAAATTGGAACAGTAGAGTAGATCTGGTTTTTTCTTTTACTTTTGTATTTGTTTAAACTACAAAAATATTTACCTATATTTCTAATTTTTTTTTTTTTAATCCCTCATTGTAAGATCAACTCAAGGAGAAAAAAAAAAACCTGACTTGAACCCCGTAGAGGATTTGATCCACATGATAAATAACATAAATTCCATAATGATATAAATAATAGGCAATTATGAATAAAAAATCTAATTATATTTTGATCCATTTGATAATTACCACGTCTTTTAGTAGATTTAAAAAAAAAATCGCTAACTATCTGAACCCATTTGATATAAGATTGAGGGTGGATTTTTTTTTTTTTTAATTCTGCTATAAATGTCAACCAAAACCAACTTGATAGCAAAAAACCAGCCATGGAGTTTGCCTGTTCTCATGTCAAAAATTTAAAAAATGAACACTTTTAAGAGATATTACGTTTTATTACATTTTGAAGCTTTTCTAATTTTTATTTTTATTTTTTCGTCTCAAATTGCTTGCAATCTTTATTTCAAATCCTTCTAAATCAACAGGGGCGCACATGTAACACACCCACCGAACCCAACACCCCCCCAAAACAAAAGCGGATTTATTGGACTAGGATAAAAAGGATCGTAAATATTCTTTTTGATTGTAATCCTGCATTCACCTTAATGATATTTTTTAACTCACCTGTTATGAGTCCGCCCCTGCAGCTCTCTTTAATGATTTTTAACCTTTGCCCTTCATTTACCGCAAGACATAACTAAACATTTATTATTTGTTTAATTTGATCCTAGTTATCTTCTATTACTATTAAATTCGTTCCTTCTTCTCTTTTTCTTAATATTTTTAAAAAAACTTTATTTTTGATCTGGATTTTTTTAATTTGACAACAGAATATATATTTTCTTCAAAAATAAATAATTTATTAACTCTTATTATATTGTCTATATTATTAATTTATTAAGCTTTTTATTTTATATATTGATTAAATCTTGACAATTAACCAATTTTCTTTCTTAAAATATATTTTATAATTAAAATATTAGATTAGTTGTCTTTTTAATTTTATTTTATATGATTAAGGTATCTATTGGAATATTGAATCCATAGCCTAGTAAAATTCTAATAATCTATCGACTTAAATTAAAATTATACTATTGATCTTGAAATTTTGTATAGTTGTCGTGCTTGTAGTTGTAAACCCAAAAAAAAAAAAAAAAAATTGTAATAATAGGAATGCAGGATTATAATTTACAAATAACCATTCTTCTTTCATTAATGGCTATTAAAAAATATCTTTAATTATTTTAGTCACAACCATATTTAAATTAAAATACTAGATTCTCAATTATTCGTTTGTTTATAATAATGATTTGTTGTTTTGTTTATATTTTATAGGTTTATATTATTAAAGTGATCATTTTGAAATATATTCAACTTATTAAAGGAGCGGTTAGTGCTACTATAATTCTTAATGTTTTTAGGTATATATACTAGTGAGCCTAGGGGTGGCTCCTAGTAGACCTAGGTAGTGGTTTATTTATATATTTTGTTAGAAAAATTGAATATCTTATTTGTATTTTAAGTGAATTTATAATTTGTTGCATATCGTATTTTAGAAATTGCTACACACACACATATATATTTAAAATTTTGTGTAAAATATGATAAATTTATAAACATTTATTTTGGCTTTTTGTGGATATTTGTTTTTGCGTCCACCACTATCGATCAAATACTCTTTTTTTAATTTAAAAAAAAAAAAAAAACTACAACTGCACAACCAATTACGATCAGAGATAAACTATAGTCTATGAAACATGAACATGGATACGGCAATGTAACAATTCAGAATGAAATACATTAATTTTTTTATATTATAAAAAGAAAAACTTTATTGTCAAAGTAAATAAAAATCAGCATTAAAACTCAATCTAATGAATTATTTATATTAGAAATAAATATTTTAAAAAATTGAAATGCGGTTATGTTAGTTAAATGTTTGATTTTTTAATTAGGTGCAGATTCCCAATCAAACCATGGTGTTACAAGACTTCTCTTTTATATTGCATTTGGAGCATAGCGGAAAATATATTATTTGGCATCACCACAGCTACGAAAGACGTTTCTGTTATTGAAGCACATGGCCCTTCGACTCGTCTTGCATGGGAAGAAATTATCACAAGTAAATTTATCTAGTATTACTATGTTTTATACCCTCACATTTAGATTTCCCGTTCTGATGACGAAGATATTTGGATATCAAATACTCATTTAGTGGAAAAATGCATAATCTGATTTTTTTATTTTTTATTTTTCCTACCTCTTCCAAGGCCAAAACTAGAAGGCATCGTTCTGCTGGGTTATGTTTGTTGGATCAGGTGTAGTGAAATAGTAAGCTGATCAAAACACAAGGATGAAATTCGCAACTTCTCTCTCTCTTGTTGCATTTCTTTGTTGTCAAGATGCAAACAGAAAAACGGTATCACGTGCGAAAAAATATGTAATGAACATTGTATACAAAGGAAACAATTAACATAAAAAATCAGGCTTCTTCTGCGATCGGGTCGGCTCAACGGACCTGAGAAGTTTTTGGAGCTCCTTCACGTGGCTAGTCATTCCCTTCGAGGAATAAGCTTTAATCATTGTTCTATATGTAACTTTATCAGGCTTACAACCTTTCTCCTCCATCAACTCAAGCACATCTTTCATCTCTGCAAGGCATTCCAACCTACCATACGCATCAACTAAACAATTAAAAAACACAGTATCCAAAGTTACATCAGAATTCTCAATAAAACGAAGAACACTCCCAATTTTTTCAGGTGTGCCAACTTCCCGATAAGCTCGCACTAAAGAGCAAAGTGTCACACAACTTGGCTTGATCCTTTCTGACTGCATTAGCCTAAACAAATACTCCATCTGTTTTAAATCCCCTGCTCGTCCAAATGCATCTATCACCACATTGTAGGTAACAATTGTCCACGAGTAATGGTATCTCTGCATGTATTCCATGACTGCACCCATTTTCTGGTAGTTCCCAGCTTTTCCATAGGAATCCAAGAGAATGTTGAAGGTCTTAATATTGGATTCAATCCCAGAACTCTGAAACTTCTCATAACAATTCTCCATCATTTCTATTTGTCCGCTGCCACCAAAGGCTCTAATTGTTGAATTCATGGTCCAAACATCAGGCTCACAATTATGCTGACTCAGCATCTCCATTAGCGTTGCTTCCATCTCTGCAAACCTTTTAGGAAGTAGAAATAATGAGTTACATCTCCACAATGGAGTAGCAATACCATGCTTCATCTGGTTGCCAAAAACACCAAAACCAACTGTTTCCCATGTGGATTAGGTACCAAATGCATGACTGGGAAACAAAACCTGTGAATAGAAGTTTTGAAGACAGCATTGTGAAAGAGGATGCAATGTGCAGCTGGAGCAATGGTTAACAATTGTTCAATTATTAGCACAATGGAGGCCTTCCTCCACCCATCAGAAGGAACTGAAACATCCTGACAAACAAAGGCAAAGTTTTTTCCCTGCGCTTTACTTTTATGCTTTCGATGGACTAGATCATGGAAAGTTAAAATTAATACTCTCTTCCCATTGCATTCTCAGCAACCAGATGGAGCATCAAAATTTAAAAGGTATCAAACAGAGTTGACAAGTTACCTTTTTGCTTTGCCATAGGCATCAATGAGGGTGTTGTATGTGACTGTATTCGGTCTGATTCCCATAGATTCCATATCAGAAAGCAGCGCCTGCACTTTGTCAAAGGCAAAAGCTTGGAGGCATGATTTTATGAGTATTGCATACGTGTGGACATCAGGGTGGCAATCAGGATTGTTCTTCATTTCCTCCAGAATACAAAATGCTTTGTCAAAGAGACCACTCCGGCCGTAGGCAGACAAAAGAGCTGTGTAGGATTCATGGCTCACAGCACAGCCTTCATCTATCATAGCTTGAAAAAGTTGGTTGGCCTTATCAGGTTGTTTACACTTTCCGAGCATGACAATGAGTTTGACATACATGCCAGCATAAGGTCTGTACCATAGCTGCTCCCGAAGTAGTTCAAAAACCTGACCATAATCATCAAGTGCTCTACTTTACTGAGATTGTAGTTAAAATACTAAGAGCAAAAATGTTCAACTAGTCAAATCACTTTCAAATTAGTTAGTTCCATGCCCAAGCGCACATATAATATACAAGAAAACTAATAGAGGATAAAAAACACAGTTTGCTAGGCAATAATGATAAATTCCATAAAAATTACATGCTAAATAAATCTCACTGGCATATTATAAAATCAATTCAGCAAAAGTAGATTGATCTTGAATTGATCATAACTCTTAAGTCCATATCAACCAACACAGGAAGAGGAAAACGCGACAATTAGTGTCCTTTTGGTAAGGTTACACTGCTTTTGAAAGTGCTTTTCAAGTGAGTTTGGGTTGAAATGGCATCAAATTGATGCTTTTTTGGGTGCTTTTGTATGGTTGTGATACAAAGATGTCAAAACCATCAAAAAGCACTTCAAAAAACATTTTTTTTTTTTTTTCAGTTGAAAAGCACTTTTGCAAAAGCAGTCTGTACTGCATTACCAAATAGACCCTTAAGCTCAAAAAACAAAGGCAGAAGAATGCTACTAAAGAAAACATAGTAAAATAAATTAACTTAAACCTACCTGAAGAGCTGAAGCCCAGCGCAAAGAGGTGATTCTTTCATGAAGAGCTTCGAGGACAGTTCTTGGAAGCAACTTTTTTGAATTAGTAGGACCTCTTTTCTTCTCAATTACAGCTTTAGTAGCCTCTCTTCGCAGAATTACTGATATTGCTTTCTGCGATGCAATTTTCCTGTTAACCTCTTCTTTTCTCTCTTTCTCTTCTTTCTTCTTCAGCTTTTCCCAGTCTATTTCCCTTCGTATCATCCCCCCTCTCGCTCCTTGTTAAAGCTGCATTATTGTTTGTCAAAGATGAAGGAGAAGGAGAGAGTGACTCTGTTTTGGATTCACTTTTGGGTCTGGATGCAGAAATAGGTGTGACTTTGAGGTTTGTTTGCAGTTTCCAGTTGAACGATTGCAGGAACAAGTTCGTGGAAGGGGAGAGGGAAGCCATAGATTTTTCTTTTGAACCATCCCACAGCAGCAACAAAGAAGGTGAGATTGTGGATTTGTGGAAAATTGCAAGTTTGACTAAATTAAGTTTCAGGTTATTAAAAAGATGGCTAATCTAGAAATCTTATCATGGCTTATTCTAATCATTCAGGGAGCAATGACAGATAGCAAAAGCAAAATATAAATGCATTTGATCTTGGCCATCTATATCAGAAACAAAAGCTATCAAACATCATTTCTTCATGTCGAATTATGATGTCTTAATATTATTTATTCTACCTTCATTCCACGAGCACAATAAGCTACATAGAAGCATGTTGACATTAACATGCTTGTTCATGAACTGACCCTCTAAACAAGTACTGCAAGCATGGAAAGACGCAGAAATTCAATCTATGCAAATGTTTCAAAATCCTTTCTCCAAAATAGAAAAAGAAACAAGTGAACATGCATTTAGAGCAATTTTACAACAACGCCTCATGATATAGAAACATGAGTGCTGAAAAGCATGTCATAGCCCCCTTGGTATCCAAAACAGAAACAAAAAATAAATGCCAAAGCAAGCCGGACAGAGAGCTCCAAAGGTTACTGTGCCGAATCTATAACACATGTCATTTGCAAAACAGATTGTAAAATAACCTAGTTTTTCTAGATTTCAACAAAAAGTTGAAAATTTTTTAAACAATCTCCACTCTGCTTAACTATTATACAGTCTCTCTATAAAAAAGAAAAAAAGAGGGAATAAAGCATTAATATATCAAATTTCAACAAGACTACTATTGTCATATGAATGCCTTTGTAACTATTATACAGTTTCTCTCTTTGCTAGCACAAATTCAGAAATTAGCATCATATGCATGATCAATAGATCTTCTCATACAAGTGTATCAGTCTTTCCAAGTCCAAACGAATTGGAAAATTGGAGGTTTGATTAAATTAAGTTTCAGGTGCATTAAAAAGATGACTAATCCAGAAATCTTATTATGGCTTATTCTAAACATTCAAGAAGCGATGCCAGGTAGCAAAAGCAAATTGTAAATGCATTAGATCTAGCCATCCATATCAGAAAGGTAATGTAATTGCAGGAGAGCTATCAAACATCAACATCTCATCAAGTCAAACTAAGATGTGTTAATATTATATATTCTATCTTCATTCCACGAGCATGATAAGCTACAAAGAAGCATGTTGACATTAACATGCTGGCGTTGATGAACTGACCCGGTAAATAAGCACTGCATCCAAGGAAAGATGCAGGAATCCAAATCTATGCAGCAGCTACAAAATTATTTCTCCAAAACGGAAAAAGAAATAAGTGAACATGCATTTAGAGCAATTTTACAGCAAGGCCTCATGCTATGGAAACATGAGAGCTGAAAAAGATATGATAGCTCCCTCAGTGTCCAAAACAGAAATAAAAATGAACGCCAAAGCAAGCCTAACAGAGAGCTCAAAAGGTTACTGTGCCAAACCCATAACATATGTCATTTGCAAATCAGCTTGAAAAATAATCTAGTTTTCAAAAAAAAAAAAAAATTGGAATTCTTCTAAGCAACCTCTGCCCAACTTAAAATAATAATAATAATAATAATAATAATAAATAAATAAATAAATAAATAAGCATGGATACATCAAACTTCAACAATGCTATTATTGTCATATGAATGGATTTGTGACAATTATACAGTTTTTCTCTCTGCTAGCACAAATCCTGAAGCATAAAGACACTCTCTTTCAAGTCATAAACCCTGAAACATTTTTGCAATCAACCCAACCAAATGATTCCCATGGCCAATTATACAGCAGAGTTGCTTGGCTATTCTCCTTTGCAAACATGTATCAAGCACCATAAGTCAAGCAATCTGGTTCAAACAGGTTAGGTTTCTAAAAGAAGCAAACACGTTATCCATAAGTGTCCAGAACAACGTAGTTAAAGATCACTTAACAACCAAATAAATGGACTGCCCACAACATACATGTCTATGCAAATAAGTAACAGAAGCAGAAGCAGCAGTGGGGCGAAATACATCAGCACAAACGTGGTTTCAAATTCACACACAAACTGCTATTCAAAAACTTGAACCGCTAGCTTACCAATTAAAGACACGAGCAAAACCATGTTACTGCATTTAATTTCCCAAGTTTACGAATACAAACATGAGTTCCCTTATAAATCCCTGAGTATTTAATCAAAATGCACACCAAAAAGGAATTGCCCCAAACAAACAACCCTAATACATACCCAATTTCGCACAATTTTAAAAAATTCAACATTGCACCTCAATTCTAGGGTTTCCAAAGCAGAGGCAAAAATCACTGAAAAAAGCAAAGCAATAATCACCTGAGTTACAAAATTGAGAAGCTAGGGCACGGCTTTTAGACAATTAGTAACGACTGAATTGCACACTTTCTCTCTCCTAGGTTTTTTTTTTTTTTTTTTTTTTTTTTGGGAATCACATATCAAAGCGAAATGAAATTTGCCCTAGAATTTAACAACTCGTTCGAGCGTGTTGTTCTGCTTCTATATTTCTCTTCACTCTGTCTAAAAATCTGTGATGAGTCTTTTTTATTTTTCTCGGTTTATGTATTTATTCTTTGTTCTCTCCTGTATTTATGTGTGTGGATTATTTATTTATTTCCTTTTTGAAATCAAAAGGATACAAAGCAAGACCAGGGGCGAGCGCTAGATTTTTTCGGTTTCGGATTTCAAATTCGGGTTTGGTTACATGAACTTATAAAAAATTGCACCTTGAAACCGAATTGAATTACTTTTTGAGTTTCTGATTTTTGATCAAACCTGATTTTTTATGGACTTTTGATATATGAAGTTTTTGGTTTCGAATAAATGAAAGTTGATCAACAAATCAACAAAAACACAATCCTTCATGAGAACAAGGTTGACTGTAACAAGAAGAACCACATACTCGTAAAACATTGAGAGCTAAATGTCACAGAATAAAGAAAGTGGGCAATTGTATGCTTTTACGTTCGAGTGTTTGCTCGTTGTTTAGGCCAGCAAGTGAGATTTACTTAAAGAAGACACTATGCAACATTAAAAACCAGCATCCAGGAACAACCTCATTCCAATGTAGATGCCATAGCGTATAAAGTACTCAAATTGATTTATTAATGGCAAATTTCAATGGTCTGAGTGGTTAAATCTGTAACATCTTAAACTTAAGACTTAAACGAATAAGAATATTATCGTCGTTAAGCTACATTCAAAGTATAATGAATGTAAATTAATAAGGCACTATGACTTAATTTTAATGTCTAAAATAAAAAATCTATGCCATAAAAATATAATATCGGTCGAGTAGGTCCTATACTTTAAGTAAAAAGACTATAAAATTTTTTGCATTTAATTATTTGTTTATATTCTTTGAATTAGATTACTAGTTTCGTGGCTACCTAGTGTCTTAAATTCTTTCCTTATTGATTATTGCAAATTCATTTAGTTATAATTTATTAATATTATTATATTATCTTTTTTTCCTATTTATTATCCTTTTTATTTGGCATGCCTCTAATTAACTTGCGTAAGTGTCCTAAGAATACTAATATGCAATTGACAATTTAAAACAACTACGCTATTACTATTAAATTACCATTTTACTACTAGTATTTCGGTTACATATAAGCTACTATTTACAAACAAGCAAAACTAGTTATATGCCAACTACTACAAATTAGCTTATTTACTAACTACATTATTTATAAAGTACTATGTTTACTTATTCATTGCTTTTAGTATCATATAAAATAGACCAGCTAATCTTAGGACATACAAAACAATAGCCAATACCATAAATAAAATAACATGCAACAAGTCCGCTCGAAAAACCAAGTATGAAAAATATTTTTATACTTGATAAAATTAATTTAAATTTATTAGGTACTCCTACACGTTCTATATGATTTTTCTATGCCCTTAAAAACATTCCTCATACCTTTGGAGTACCTAATTTAATTCTTCTATCTCTAAAATACTATTCCTATACATAACAATTCAAATAAAATATTCACAACACATAAAAAATTCACATGGTTGCATAAAAAAATTCACATAGTCGCATAAAATAATTCAACATCCCTCTAACAAATATTTTAAGCAAACAAAACATTTTTCATACATATATAACATGCTCAAAATAATTATTTCATACAAAAATTACTATTCATGCACCGAAAATCGATAAAATATTTATTTAGCCTAAAAAGGCTATTTTAACAATTCTAAATATTCTTTTAAGTCCTTAAGGGTTATTTCATATCTTCAAACTATTTCTCACATGTATTTAATATTTAATTTTATTAAATTTTAATTTTAACGGGTATTGGGTATTACAAAACCAACCTTGAGTCTTATTTTATATAAAGACAAAGAGAGCAATTGCTTAAGTTAGAGTTTGAAACTTATTATATTGCTTATGCATTTTTCGAGTACGAGGAATCAGAAAAATTGGAATCAAGTTTTTTTTTCCCTAAGAATGGAATATAAAATAAAGATTCAAGTATCTATGGTAATATCAGAGATCCAGATTATCTATGGGCATAATATTATTCAAATGAATATGTGAAATGATGAAATCTATCCTAACCTGTTTTGACCCCCAAATTTTTATTAAAAACATTAGTTATCTAAAATTCTTTTAAAAAATAATTGCATGGTACACCGTTTTTGTGATTTTTCGTATTTTTAGGATTTTTATAAATTTTCCTGATTTAAAATTTATTGGTATTTTGATTGTTGATTTTGAGAAGAGCAACTGAAAAAAAACAAAACAAAACAAGTTAAAAAAGTCATTAAAAAAACAGTTACAAAAGCCAAAAGAAAAAAGAAACCATAGAAAATTGAAAAAAGATAGAAGAAAAAAAAACTAAAAGAAATAGGGAAAAATAAAAGAATTTAAAAAATAATGAGAATTGAAAAAAAGAAGAAATTTTAAAAAGATAAAGGGAAAATAGGAAGATAATAAAAGGAAAGAGGACCATAACAAAAACAAGAAAAGAAAAAAGGAGAGATCTAAAGAGATATAGGGATGAAATTGGAATAAAAAATGAAAACAGAATAGAATAGCCAATTGAAGGGCATAATCGAAAAAACAAATCAAGGATCAGAACAAAAAAACATTGAAATATAGGGATCAAATTAAAAAAATACATAAAGAGAACTAAGTCATTTTCACGTATGAGGAGGCAAAACGAAAATAACAAACCAGGGAAACGACATCGTTTCCATTGGCTATTTTTCTACTATTCTTCTTTTTTTTCTTTTCTTTCTCGCCTCTTCAACTATTGTCATCTTTTTCTCTCTCATACTTTCCATGTTGTCAAAGGCGAAAAGCAAATTGTCTGTGCAAAAAAAAAAAAAAAAAGCCTAGGAAAACGTTAAAAAAGCAGCAAAATCACAAAAGCATGACGAAAATACAGCTCCTTTTCCTCTCTTTCATGTCAGTATTTTTTGTGCAAACAACGCCCCTTCAGACAAGGTAAAGGGCAAAGGCGAGGGTTAACAGTTATGGAGGGTAAAAAAAAATTTGAAATGATCGTCAAAAAGTGAAAGGGAAAAAGAAAAAAAAAAAAAGGAGAAGCTAAGTCAAGCAATGAAAGAAAAATAAGAAAAAGCTTGGCTTTCCTTGACCTATATAAGACGGTTGTTGGTTAGATAAAGAGGGGGGATTCTGTTGCGAGAAAAGGAAATAAAATAGAGAGAGATTTGAATTTTTTAATCGGGGCTTGTATTTTGCACAATTTTTTTCTTCACTCCTTTGTTGTCATTTTTAGTTCCTATCTGGAGAAGGAATGTCTCTCATTATTTTCATTCTATTATCAATTCAAGTTCGTTCCTGAAAGGTTGTCTTTATGCAAGCTTTTATTAACTTGCTAGCAAGTCCATTTTTCAATTTTTTTTTTTTTACTGGTTTTGGCCACTTTTAGTTGTTTCACACGTGCAATTTTCATATTTTTACGTGTAATGCTTTATACGTAATTTTCTCTTCTTTTAACTGTTTATTTACACTTGCAAAGTTTCCTTGTGTTATAATTATTTGCATATCATACCTTTGCATTATTTACATTTATATGACATATTTTTTCACATCTACTCTTGTATTGAAAATTAATTTGATTTGACATTAAATAGATAAGACTACTAGTTTCATGTTCGACGAACATTTAATGAGATTTCACAAATAATTTAATAATTTTTTTTTTTTTTTTATGTATTTGCCAACCCATTGAGATTGTAATTTTCATGATCATCTCGCTTTTAATACGTGTCAAATGCACCAAGAATAATTTATTATTGTTCTTACTAATTTTTTTAGCGATGGTAAGTCCAAATTGAATTCTAAAAACTGGATTATTGACTCTATTAACTTATATTAGAAGGAGTGTTTTGATGTATGCTGAAATTATAATTAAATAGAAAGTAAAAATAGAGAAACTTCAAATAAGAAAGACTTCGTTCAAAAGAATTTTCAAACATTCAAATTGCAGATGATCATAGACACCTAAATTATTATCCTCTCATTGAATATTTAGTTTAAATTTACTTAGACTCTAGAATAAAATTGAATTTTTCCTAAAATATCATGCATCCTATGTAGGTATGGAATAAAACAAAAATTTTTCTCCATCTAAAGTTCACAAGATCATGTCGTTGAATCAACCGATCATATACACACACACATGAATTAAAGCATAAATAAAGGATCACCTCTTGTAATGTAGAATTAAACCTTTATAGAAAAGGAGCCGTCCAAGCGTCCAATCTCTATTGATAATCCACGCAGTCCAAGCACTCACACAAGAAGTACTCGAAAATTATTAGAGTGCTAGCTTCATATTTTTTGACTTGTTTTATATTTTTAGAAATCTATTCGGGGTAATTTATGCGATAACCTTAAGAGAAGTAAGAGAGGTGACATAATTTTTAGGGAGAGAAAACTATTCTCTCTATTCTATTTGTTGCCATATAGTCCTAATTATTTTTCCTCTTCGTCTTTTGTGTTCTCTCTTCTATCCTTATCTTTATTGCTCCTCTCTTTCTCTTTATATAGGGGGAGTGTTTTTTTTATTCTCTAATGATAAGAAATAGGACAACAATGAGTCATTAAAGGACTCTTACTTGTAGTTTCCTAATCCTTTAATGATTAGGAGTTATTATGTATGTGAGTTTTTTTATCTTATCCATTGAAACAAAAATCCTTATCTAATAAGGTTCATGTTTATCCTTCCACTAAAATATATAGCGAGACTTTTTAATTAAATCTCTTAGCCCAAATAATACTAATTAATTTGGACTACCTAAAAAAATTAGGTTAGATATTTTTAGAAGATCCACATTAAGAAATAATTTTTCAAATTACCATTAAACCTAAATTAGGAAACTAATTTCCTTTTTAGGTAATTTTCTCACAAATTTGGAAATGGCTTGAAAACTAGGAAACCGATTTCTAAAATAGAAAACTTTTTATTTTTGAAAACTTTTCATTTTTCGAAACCTATTCCAAAATTGGAAACATATTCTAACATCGTTGCTTCTCTTTTACTATGTGAATGCTTAGACTTATGAGTGTAACTCAATAGACTTCTAGATATATTGACAATATATCAAGAACTATGTTATATTGATGTATCGCTACTCGTGGCCTTCGATTTCTTGAGCGGATATTCATCGAAGGGCAATGTGATAACTTCGTTATCATACAAAAAATAAGATGTCATATCTTAGTCATCCACCTACGTGATGACTTTAAGTTTAAGGACCAATTGTACCTATCTCGTATGAGATTCTCATAGATTAAACCAAATGGGTTTTCATGACGAGTCAAGTCCCGTGATATATTCTCTAACATAAATCACTAAGTGCTTGCTTTGGCATCACCATGCTAATAGGTGTGAGATCTTTTACTCGCTATCATATAACATGAGCATAGCATTCACAAGTTTAATCACATATGGTGATTTTTCATTCTTTACAATACTATGAATTAGGATATTTAATGATATCATTTATATGCATTAATGTTTATCTCAAATCTTTCAATCAATCACTAATACAAATGCATATTATATGAACTTCTATCTAATTCTATTCAATAAATAAATATTAACAATAAGAATTAATAGAAAGACATCTTTTATTATTAATAAAATAAATAATGCAATGATACAATAACTCAAACCTATCCAAATATAGTTGGATCTTGGGCACCTACACTAACATTTCCTAAATTCATTAACTTCAAAGGCACTTATGAATTAAATTCTTCTTATCAAGTGACTTTGGTATTAAACAATGCTTAATCAAATTAATAATAGTATTACAAATTAGGAAGATAGGTAAGATTGAATAACAATCAAGGACATTAAAATTATATAATTCTTTCTCTTATTTCCCTTAAGTAATCAAACTAATTTGCTACTTGTTCTAACTTTTCATAACAATTATGAATTAAGAAAATTAGTTAGTTATCAACCATAATAGATAATCAACTAATAGGCCTCTTAGATATTTACTCATGTAATCATGATTAATTTAATTTAGAGATTAATTAATTAAGCTTAGAAAAATAATAGATACTCAAATTATCAAGATAGTTTAAAGGTCCAACTCGGGTTTCATAATCTTTTACAAACCGAAGTTGAAATCTCTTGAGTTGAATTAAGAAAATTTAGCCGGATATTGTTTAAAGCAATAAATTCTAAATTATATAAAAGAAAGTGTAACTCTAATATGCATTCTTAGAGGCTATTGATACATATAAAGAGATAAAATATGGAATCTAAAAAAAGTCCTATTTAAACCTATTTTCGAAATTAAGTAGGACTTGTTATTGAACTTTACATTATATTTTGAAACTTTGGAACTAATTTAGGATTTCTACATGAAAGTTGTAGACTTAGATGTATTATTTTTGTATGATTTGTGATCATCTTAATCTAATATGTATATCCACATATATAACCCATAGACTTATTAGTGTTCCAAACTCGTTACATGATCCAAATTTCTATCATGACTTTGCAATCGACTTTGACAACCTCAAACCTTAATGGATTTCTACATTTACACCTAATCCGAAAAGCTTAAGATGTCTAATTTAATTCTTAATGAGGACTTTTTTATGTTCTAGAGCTCTAAGGATGTGAAATTTTCATTTCTTTCTCAAAAGATCTTTCTACCAACATTAAAATTTTGCTATAATTATCTCACTTTTGTTCATTTGACTCCAATAATCTCCTAGTCATATAGTAAATTTAATTCAGCATATATAACTTAAAATCACATCTAAAAGACTAAATATAAGAGAATAAATATAATCAATAATGCTCACTATCATTTTTTCTTTGTCTATAAAATCATCTAAGACCTTTAATTGGATCCAATGACACTAAAACCCATAAGCCCAATTTTAAGTCTTTTTCCCAAAATAATAATAATAAATGAAAATAGGCCTTCGAACTCACATTTCAAACCTTCTAGTTTTAGATTCTAAAGGCCTAAATGAATAAACATTAAGAAATAAATTCTCGGATTATTTTCAATTTTGCATGGACTTGATTTAAAAATAAACTTGCAAAATAGGCTTAGAAAATAATTTGGCATATAATTATTTATAGAAAATAAATTTAGAAATAACCAAATAAAGTAATATTTCTTATAAAATGATGTGTTTTGAGTATTTTATTTTTTCTTAAACATAATTAACTCTTTATTTATTTCTCTAGAACCAATGTCATTTAAGGATTCGTAGTCTCTTTAAGATACTAAGTGATGACTCCATAAGTTTAAATATTTTTAATATGAAAGTCTTATATGTAGGTAGCAACAAAATCCATTTAGATTGAGAAAATAAAAGATGGATAAAAAAACAAAATACCTAAATGTCAAAAAATAATGTTTGCAATTGTGTTCCTAATGTCACTACAACAAAAATCCCTTATAGAGGCGGAATGTTTAAGGCGATCAAGAAAATGACCTCGCAGTTTAATAACTCTATCTTACATACAGACTTATTAAAAACAAAAAAGAGGTGGTTGATAAAACCGCCTCACTTCAAGCAACCTACACCTTCTTTCTTTCCTTTTCTTTTCCTATTAGAGTTCTAAAAAATAAAAAAATAAATGCTTTATCATCTTGATCCTTTCTACCTTTGTACTTGCTCATCCCTTCAACTTTTATATATGTTTCATATTTTTGTTTTTCTTTTTCTTTTAAATTCGATTATTTCATAAGAAAAACACGCTTCAATTATGATTATTTAGGTTTTTTCTTCTTCTCCTTTCACGAGGGTTCCGTGGTTACTATATCTCTAGGAGTGAGGTTTAGGGTGATAATTTAGGCCCACAACTAAGTCAAGAAAGAAAGGAAAGAGAAAAGGAAGAGGTATCTCGAAGAGACAAGGAAACACTTATGAATTTATTTTAAGAGGTCGGAATCTCGATCCGGTCCTAGTGTTCAAAAAGGATTTGAGGGTGGACAAATGCCTCTTTACTCGTTATATCCCTAAATTGTATGGAATTGCTAAAGGTACTCTTTTTTACTTTTTCTCATTAATTAATTATGGACTTGGAGAATCATCTTATTATTGAATTTCTTTTTTTAACATTTGATCCACTTATTATTATTATTATTATGGGAAAATTTTCATTCATGTATGTTTCTATAATTGAATTTTAGTAGAATGATAACTAAGAGAATTTCCCTAATGAATTGTATTTGTTTGCAAGCTTAGAGTACATCTTTTGAAAAAAAATATTTTTAATTCGAATTTTCTATGGAACTCTAAGATAGTGTAACAAATTTCTTCCTTTCCTCATGGGTTTTGCCTTCGTTAATTTTTTAATATTTCTTTTTTTAATTCTTGGTGATAATTTTCTCTAAAAGGTGCATATGCATCAATAAATCTATATAGAAAGACTAAGCCAGCATTTCATTTATTTAATTTTAAACTACTAAAAAACACAATTCCGAAGGCCTCTGTTTGGTTATGTTGACCATACAATGGCTTGAATAGAGTGGTTAACCTTGTATGCTATCGATGGATTTTTTCAATAACATCTAATCTTACTATCATGGACATAAACTAAAAGATTCTAACACCATGAATGTCAATTGGGTATGACTTTGAAAATTCATGGTTTTACGATGATGAGATCAGCTTAATAATTTGTAAACTAAATTAGCATCTTACTCGCTATTTTGTATGAAGTAATACGAAATTCTTTTGAACACTTCTTGTAATTGTTGAAGTGGTGAATAATCTAAGATACAAGGTCACTCTTTCTTTTTAGTTGCTTTTTAATTAAACCATATATCACAACTTGAAAATTAAAAAGGATTTTGGTTTTGGTTGATAGTAGTGAACTTACATCAATAGTGTTTTCTTAGAATGTTTTAGGGCCAATAAGTCATTCCTCTATTGCCTTTTTGTTTGATTCACGCTCACTATATATGCCATGAAATTGAATGGAAACATTCTTTTTTTTTTTTTACTTTTTTTCTCCATATGGCAAAACTTGTATGTTTTAATGATGCATGTATTTTCATATTTATAAACTCATCGGTATGCTTCGTTTCTTTCAAAGGTATGTATGTAGGTTGCCAAAATATGCTTCTACTTATTGTGGTTCCCTAATTGTTGCCAAAGAAGAGGAGAAGAAGGAAGAGCCTATTAAAGAGTTTGATGAAGACTTAGGTTTCAACCTCTTTGACTAAGTTTTGTGTCGGTGTTTATCTAGGATTTTACCATATTGTGATGAATAGATTTAGCTTCTTATTAGTTCATTGCTTGTTGCTTGTGTTACACTACGGATGGGGTATTGTATTTTAGTTTCTTACTAGTTTATTACTCACGATATGCTCGCACAATGAATAAAAGATGCACTCGTTATTTAAAAGACTTTTATTTGTATTCAATAAGCTATAATTTTTTTAAATTTATTTGTTTTTGACTAAAAATTAGAGTAAATTATTGAATTTGAAGGCGAAGTAAAACTATAATGCTAAAGGCGAGTTACACAAGCACTCCTATAAATTCTAAAATTTAAGGCTATTGTAACAACCCCACGCATTTGGTGCTAAATTTTTTAAAAATTTGAGAGTGCGAGAGGTGGTTGTCAACCATTGCACAAATTATGAATTGAAAAATAAAAAAGACACAATTAGCATTATAAGGGCGATTATAACTGCCTCAAAACAATTGCCTCTCAATTCCTCGACGATTGTAAAAACTACCTTTAGAGAATAGAGATGGCAACAACATATACAGCTTTAAGGCAGTTCATAAAACCGCCCATAGACTTTGTAGAGGTAGTTAGAACTACCTTTAGAAGAGAAAAACCTCATCAAATAGCCTTTTTAGTGTAGTGTATGGTCTATAGAGTATCTAATCTTCCAAAGAATAGCACACATAGAATGAATACAATCTATTAATACTTTAAAACTATATATGTTAATTTTTAATCCATGCTTAGGAGGCTTCCATTTAATCCAAGTTGGTTTTTTATGTTTTCTAGATAGATCTAGAAAACTATAGGTTGGTTTGTTTTTTTCTTTTTAAAGAGAGAAGACCCATTTGTAAACTATATCGAGAATGTTAGTAAGTTATAAACATTAAACATCATAAATTATACAATATCATTGTACCCATATTTCCTAAATAGTATAACAAACTACTTGAATTCAAGTTAGCTTCATGCTTAATTAAACAAAAGGACGCTAAAGGAAGAGCCTTCCTTTCCAAAGGTCAAGAGCTAAAGTATCCGAAGTAGAGATTGAAGACAAGAAAAAAAAAATATACTTAACCATGAGGAGAGTCACAAATTCGATAATAGGATCAAGATCATCAGCTAGGGAGTAACCATTTGATTAATTACCTTTGTCCCATAACCGTAGCCCTTCACCTACTACTCTAAATTTGACTAGGAAAGCCTCCTTGACATCAACTAGCAAGTAAGCTATAAGAAAAGCGATAGAGTAGGCTCTCTATCCGTCTTAGGGCAAGCACTCATTTAGAAGCATGAGTGAAATAGCTAGCTATTCAAGTGAGTTTATGAACTTCACTTCATCCCTATATAAGGTATATATGTATGAAGTCTATTCTTTTTTAGTAAGAAGAGGTACATTATAAATAAACAAAAAAGAATATAGCCTTTCTTTAGTACTTGCACTATTAGTAGTTAGCTAGCAAAGCACAATTATAGAAAAAAAAATGTAGTGCATGGTGGAAACTCATTAGTTCTTCTAGTCATTCCAATTTTTTTAATTCTCCCAAGCATGCCAATACTTCAAGCAATTAAAAGAGTTATGCAACCATTAGTTTTAAGCTAGTAAAGTGAAGGAAAAGCCAATACTTGATTTGACCAAATTAAATTCAATAGACAAATATTCCTTTTCCTTGGTTAGGAAGAAAGGTAATTCAAAGAAATTCAACCAACTAGATGATTTAACCAATCTAACATAGCAAAAGCATAATAAAGTAAGGTCATTTCCTTTCTAACTCATTCGATAGAGAGCATACCAAATAAAGATAGTGTTAGAATTCAAATCCTTCATAATTAAGAAATAAATTACAAACACATATCACAAACTTAACATTAAAAGATTCTTCCGATTGATTGATTAAATAGGTATCCACCTAACCAAGTAATATAGGAAGCTTCGGATAGTTTGACGAGCACATGCATGGTCAAAAATAGTGAGGGATTTTATGGATGCCAATTAATTCTAAAGATGCCTATATAGCTTAAGGCGATACCACATGTTTAAGTAATAAGATTAACATCCGTATAAATAGGACCCGTGTGTTTATAATTTATGTATGAAAAAAAAGGAGTATATAAGCTCATATAGCAAAAGCTATCAAGAAAGAATATAAGTTATATGTTGTATTACCAATATATTAAGAAAGGATATTTTGTGTGTAAGAGGTTTCCTTTGTAATCAATATATTATCAATATATTGTTGGTTAAGTTATAGTTATGAGCCTAATATGCTTTTTACAAGTGGTATCGGTGCCTAGGTTTGTGTCTACATTTCAAGAACGTGAAGAGATGATCAATATGATTCAGCCTCAAATCCCAAAATTAACAAAGATGGATACTACGGAATCCAAATAAAGGTTCTGCTTGATTCACAAGATTTATAGAGATTATTAAAGAGGGCTACATTGAGCTCGAAGATGCAACTACCAAAGCATCTTTATCACATATGTAAAAGACATAGCTTAAGGAATTATGCAAGAAGGACAAAAACACCTTGTATGTCATTTTTCAAAGAGTTTTTGAATCAACTTTTAAGAAAATATGATATACAAAGACATCAAAGGATGCATGAGCGATTCTATAGAAATCTCTTCAAGGAGTCAAAAAATCTAAAAAAGTACAACTCCAATCACTTAAGGCTGAATTTAAGACAAGTAAAAATATAGAGTTCTAAAAAGATCAATGATTATGTCACTCATCTAAAAATGATAGCGAATAATATGAAATGAAATGGAGAAAATCTTGATGACGTTAATGTGATGGAAAAACTCTTATGTTTGCTGACAAGAAAATTTGATTATATCATTATTGCTATTAAAGAATCATAATATTTGTCACAAATTTCAAAAGATGAGCTTGTTATTTTTCTTTAAGCTCATGAGTATAGAATGAACTAGAATAAGAATACTTGTAATTTGAAGCAAGCTTTGTTAAACAAGCTATCTATTGTTGATAATCAAGTTAGCATAAACTATGGATGAGGTAGAGGTGGTGGATGAAGATATGGCGAAACTCTTTCGAAAGAGGCCAAATAAATGAAGGCTATCAAATATATGGTCGTGGTCGAGGATCTAAAAAAAAAAAGTTTGATTTCAACAATGAGGTGATAAATCATAATTGCAATGTTATAACTATAACAAGTATGGGTATTTCGATTATGAATGCTGATTAGCTCCTAAGATTAAGGAAACAAATGATTTTGTAAGAGCAAAAGACAAATAAGTTGAATTGGCTATTTTCCTCACATACAAAGGGAATGAAGAGTGCAATAAAAATGTTTGATATCTTTACATAGAGTGGTAGTAAGTCGGTAGTTGGACATCTTAGGATTTTTACGTGCATTGCATATGGTCATATTCCCGACCAAAAAAGAAAAAAATTAGATGACAAAGGTGAGAAGTATATTTTTATTGGCTATGAGAAAAAGAGTAAGACATATAGATTGTATAATCCTTTGATTAAGAAAGTGATCATCTCATGAGATATTGAATTTGGTGAAGTAGATTGCTAGAGATGGAGCAAAAATGATAATAAAGTTAAAGGACTATGTTTTAAATGATGATAATGATGATGACTTCAACACATAAGATGAATGAGGTGATGAATATACTCCTTTATAGAGTCCTACATTAACAACTCCCGAATTGACACTATCAACTTTGTTAGACAAGTAGCGAGTAATTTAAGGGGAACACTTATAAAAATACAAAGTCTAAATGATATTTATGATTCCACAAAATCTATGTAGATAATATATGATTACTCATTATGTTGTTTAATGGCGGAATGTGATCCATTACTATACAAAAAAGCTATTAATGATGAGAAGTGGAAATGAATGAAGAAATTGTTACAATAAAAAAAATGACACATGGGAACTAACTAGTCTTCTTAAAGGACACAAGGTAATAGGAGTCAAGTGATTGTACAAGACAAAGAATAATCAAGAAAGAAATATGGAAATACAAGGTAAGACTAGTTGCTAAAGAATTGACTATGAGGAAGTGTTTGTTTCGAGTTGTAAGAATTAAATTAGACTTCTTACAATGCTTATAGCATAAAATAAATGGAATATTTATCGGATGGACATGAAATTAGCATTCTTAAATGGATATCTAAAAGAAGTCTACATCGAGCAACCATCAAGATATATTAAGAAAGGATAAGAAAACAAAGTCCACCAACTAAAGAAATTCTTATATAGATTAAACCAAGCTCTACGAGCAAGGAAAACGAGAATAGATTAGTACTTCTAAACTAATGGTTTTATGAGAACTCCCCATCAAGCATGCCTTATATATGAAGAAAAATCAAGATGATGATATCATGATCATATGCCTATATGTGGATGATATGATCTTTATGGGAAATAATCTAAGTATGTTGAATGATTTTAAGAAAGCTATGCTAAAGAATTAGAAATGATAGACATTAGTGAAATGTCATGCTTTCTTCAAATAAAAGCAAAACAAATGGAAGATGAAATATTTATGTCGCAGAAGAAGTATGCGAAACAAATCTTGAACAATTTCAACATGAAGGATTGCTATGCTAGTAGCTACACCAGCAGAGTAGGCATGAAGTTGAGAATAAAGTTGAAAAGAGAGTCGATAAACCCGATATTGTTCAAGAGTTTGGTCGAAGTTTGAGGTACTTGACTTTCACACATCTAGACATCATGTATGCAATTGGACTAGTTAGTAGATATATGGAGAAGCCAAAGCAAGATCACTTCATTACAACAAAAAGAATTTTAAGATATATCAAAGGGATAATAGTTCATGGTTTATTTTATACACATTCTCAAGATTTAAAGTTGATTGGTTATTCATATAGCGATTATAGTGGAGACTTGAATGATTGGAAGAGCACTTCTAAATTTGCATTTCATATTGGATCAATAATATTTTTATGGTCATTAAAGAAGCAATAAGTAGTTGCTCTCTCGACAT